CCATTAAAAAAGAAGTCCACGCGGCGCCGGGGGGGGAGGGGGTTAATAAAGGCCTTCTGAAGCGACACTATGCGTTTGTGTAAGAAAAATATCCATATTTACAACTTTATAAACCTTAATCTCTAGCTTCCGCTAACTGTTGTTCGCTCATTCATGAGAGAGTGGCGTCCAGCGGATGACATAGGATGTAGGCGTAGCATAAGCTCCGGTGAGAATATGCTAGTCTCGCGAGAAACAAGTTTTGTTTACAGCAAAGGAAAACCAATGTCCTCTTGGCTTATATCGAAATCCTCCTACATTTTTCTTTACAAATCCTTGTTTTGTACTACTAATTCGTGACCAGTGTTTTGTTTTGCTCTCTCCTCTGCCCTTCCACGTTCGTCACTTCCGCATTTGTCACCGCGTTTGCATACGTGCTACGTCATCCGCTGGACGCCACTCTCTCGTGCACGAGCGTACGACAGTTAGCGGAAGTTAGAGATTAAGGTTTATAAAGTTGTAAATATGGATATTTTTCTTACACAAACGTATCGCGTCGCTTCAGAAGGCCTTTATTAACCCCCCGGAGCCGTGTGGACTTCTTTTATAATGGATGGGTGCAATTTTTTGGACTTCAAATTTTGGGCTACCATCCACTCCCATTATAAAGCTTGGAAGAGCCTGGACATTATTTAATATAACTCCGATTGTATTCGTCTGAAAGAAGAATGTCATATACACACTGGGATGGCTTGAGGGTGAGTAAATCATGGGCTAATTTTCATTTTTGGGTGAACTAACCCTTTAAGAAACAAATTCATCTACTTTTTGGATTGCCTGTGAGTGAGAGAATTTTCAGCAAATTTTCACCCATTTTTGGGTGAACTATTCCTTTAAAGATGAACGGATGCAAATGATTATACTTGAGATCAAAAACTCAATTTTTAGTAAATGGAATTTACCGACTTCAGATTTGACCCAAATTTGACTATTTGCAAAACAAGAACCGCGTCAGTGAGCAATACAGTACCACAAGCTCTAAACGGAAATGACATACAGAAACCCAGAGAGACCATGCAATATTAATTGTCTTGTTTTCTCAATCACAACTTGTTTCTTATGATCTTGACACGAAAACACATTTTCTTGACAAAAAGTATTAAATATAACAGTAATGAACTGCCTCCAGATAACTTATCAATATTAAATGCCTGTCATTCTCATATAATTAGCCTTAAATATTATAATTTCATAGTTTAGTTACTGTATAAAATGGAGCACACACAAAGAAGGGTGCCTTATAAATAAATGAACTTTATTAGATGGATTTAAATTAATCTCTTTCAAAGAGAATATGCGCTGTGAACACATCATGGGTTGGCACATGGGCTGTTTCTCTTCAGATGACAGTGTCTGACCATTAGAAACAGTTTATTGATCTATGCTGTAAACAACGTTCACTGGCACCTCACATGCATGCACTCCATAAAACACTGAAGCTTATAGACGTGGCCAGGAACCAAAGGTTTAGGATTCACTTTTAGAGGGAGACCAGACTTGTGGTGCATCACTGGCTCATTTAGGCAGAAGGCAGAAGAACAGTTGCTGGGAAAACGCAAAAAAGGACAACAGGTGGGTTTAGGAAATATTTGAGTTTTATTTATTGTTAAAAAACACTAGTTTATGTCAGATTAAGACTTTTTCATGTAGAATAAAATGTTTGCAGCTGGTGAATTAGTAATTGTAATAATGTAAAGGTGGCAACCTACTCAAATGCATCTAGTATAATTTTAAATACAATTTTCTAGTGATGATAAACTTTCTACTTTCACTACAAGCTGCATGGCAACATGTTACTACACTAAAGCTACTTCATACTTGCTTTTTTAATAATGTGAAATATTTAAAGCTGTAATTTTTTAACAAGTGTATTTGGAGACAGAGCATCTCCAAGAAAGGTACATCTTAAACTTTTTTTTACACGTCAAGACGGAACATGTATATAAGGTCAAAAACATCTCTCAAAAGGGTAAAAAATTTTAAATCGCAATTAGTAGCGAATAATATCACAAGCTTGCATACATTGAACCTAATGAAAACCTTCGTTATTGGCAGATGTTAGAATGTGTTTGTGGGATAGGTTTTAACTGACGTTATTTTTGCGTATCACCCAGTGCTGTTTTTGTTCTCTGTGCTCTTAAGTTATCTTCTCATTGTTTCATTGTTATCTCCTGAATCACTCTGACGAGTTCAATCAGTGAATTGTCTGCCAGGTTCAGTGATTCACAAACGTACTGATACTGACTGATTTGACTAATACATTGAACTGACCAACAAAAATGATTAGCTCACAGATGTATTATTTGCTAGTCCTGGTTTTGTCCAGAAGACAGAGAAATCATTTTTAGACAAAAACAACATTTGGAAAGAACTTCTTAAACTGTATGAATCTTAAATCGACGACGACTTAAGGCAAGTCATTACAGGTGAATATGGTGAAAATATGAAACCAAAGTCAAACACCTTCAGAATATAGATAGGAATAAAACTGCGAAATTTGTTCTGCGAAGAAGTGCTACTGAAATGAAGATTTCTGGCTCAGTACGTGAGAAACTCATTTTGAAAAAACAGTATGTACTGTAATAGAAACCTGCAGAATAAAGTGAATAAAGTGTAATAAACACTTGTGCATTTTAGATGTTTTGCATGTAGTGTCTTGCCTTAATCGATTAGAGTCCTCAGTACTGTAAAGCTTCATGATCTCTGCCACCTTGCTACTGAGAATAAATAATAGCAATGTTGCCGCCCAACAGTGGTGAAGTTCCCTAATGGTTTTTCACTGATAACTTCAGTCTGGTGTGTGGTTTTCAAACAAGTTAAACAGATGATGATATTAAAAGCAGATTTTCTGCAGACATTAGGCTCTTGGTTAAAAAACAAGCTGGTTAGTAAAAATAAAACTTTCTTCAAGCTACACTCTCAAAACTAGCAGTTCTTTATTGGCAACTATGGTTCCTTGAAGAACCTTTAACATATTTCCATTGTGCAAAAGGTTATTTATAGTGGAAAAAAGTTCTTTAGATTATTAAAATGTTCTTCACACTAAGTTAAACCTTCATTTAAACCAGTGGCGCTTAATTCCAGTACTACAGAACAACACGTTTTGTATGTCTGCCTTATTTTATATCACTGAATCGGGTGTTGGAAATAAAGTAGACATACCAAATGTTTAGGTTATTCCTTACATAACCTAATTTCCATAAACTCGTGAACAGCCCAGAAGAGCTTTGCAAACTAATGATGGAGCATTTGAAATGACACGTCGGTGAATTTGTTTTGAGAGCTCTGCTTTTGAATGGAACGAAATCATCAATA